CTAGTAAGCATGTCAAAAAATTATGGGTTATAGCTCATGAAATTGTGAATTTCAACTAGCAGGAAATTATTTGCCTAAGGGTCAAAACCCTAAAAATGTCAACAAAAAAAAATCCTGAGTTACAGCTTGTGAAATGGTGAATTTTAGCCTCAACAAAGTAATTTGCCATTGGGTCAAAACCACTGAAAATGTCTAAAAATCATGGCTTATAACTAATGAAATGGTGATATTTCACTACCGAGAAATTATTTGCGAATGAGAGAAAACCACTAAAAATGTTCAAAAATCATTTGACATAGCTCATGAAATCATCAATTTTGTTCTCCATAAAATTATTTGCCTATGGCTCGAAACCATTAAAAATGTCAACAAGTCATGGCTTATGGCTCATAAAATTACGAATTTTGGCATTGAGAAATTATTTGACAACGGGTCAAAACCAATAAAATCGGCCAAAAATCATTGTTATAACTCATGAAATCGTGAATTTTGCCTCAAGAAAATTATTTGCCTGTGGATGGAAAGACTAAAATTTTAAAAAAAATCACAGGTTATAGCTCGTGAAATTATGTATTTTAGCCTCCTCAAAATTATTTGCGAACGGGTCAAAACCACTAAAAATGGCCAAAAATCGTGGGTTATAGCTCTTGAAAATGTTAACATTGGCTCCGATAAAATATTTCACTATGGGAAAATAATTAAAAATGGCTAAAAATTGCGGGTTACAACTAATAAAATCATGAATTTTGGCCTTCGGGGAATTATTTGCCAATGAGAAGAAACCACTAGAAATCAGTAAAAATCATGGGTTATAGGTCATGAAGTCGTGAATCTTGGCCTCCACCAAATTATTTGCCAACTGGTCGAACCCACCAAAATGGCCAAAAATTGTGTGTTGTAGCACTTGAAATCGTGAAATTTGACCTCTAGGAATTTATTGGCCAATGGAAACCATTAAAACGTCCAAACACCATGGCTATTGCTCATGGAATGGTGAACTTTTGCCTCTAGGAAATTATTTGCATATGGGTCGAAACAACCAAAAATGGCCAAAAATCATGAGTTATATTTCATAAAATTGTAAATTTTGACCTATAGGAAATCAGTTGCTAATTGGTCGAAACCACAAGAAATTACTAAAAAATCATGTGTTATAGCTCATGAAATCATAATTTTGCCTCAAGGAAATTTTTTGCCTATGAGTCATAACCACTAGAAACGGACTAAAACTATGGTCTATAGTTCATAAAATCTTAAATTTTGGCCTCCGCGAAATTATCCACTAACCCATCAAAACCACTAAAAATGGCCAAAATCAAGGGTTATAGCCCATGAAATCGTGATTTTTGGCTCCCGCGAAATTATTTGCTTACGGATCAAAAATATTGAACATGTCCACAAATTATGGATTATAGCTCATAAAATTATGAATTTTAGCCTCCTGAAAATTATTTACCTATGATTTGAAACTCTAAAAATATCAAAAAATCTTAGGTTATACCTCATGAAATGGTAAATTTTGGCATCCATGAAATAATTTGCCAAGGGGTCAAAACCACTAAATATGTCAAAAAGATCATGTCTTATAGCTAATTAAATGGTGATATTTGGCCTTTGGAAATTATTTGTGAAAGAGTGAAAACCACTAAAAACGTCCAAAACTCGTGTGTCATAGCTCATAAAATCGTGAATTTTAACCTTTGCAAAATAATTTGCTAACTAGATGAAACCACTAAAAATGTTAGAAAAAAAGCATGGCTTAGCTAATGAAATATTAATATTTGGCCTCTAGAAAATCACTTGCGAACGAGTAAAAACAACTAAAAATGTTCAAACAATCGTGTGTCATAGCTCATGAAATCTTGAATTAGCCTCTGGAAAATTATTTGCCAAGAGTTGAAACCATTAAAAATAGCCAAAAATCATGAAATTATGCATTTTGATCTCTTTAAAATTATTTGCTGACAGGTCAAAACCATTAAATATGGCCAAAATCATGGTCCATAGCTCTTGAAATCATGAATTTTAGCTCTGATAAAATATTTAACTATGGAAACATAATTGAAAATGTCCAAAAGTCATGGGTTACAACTCATGAAATCATGAATCTTTACCTCTAGGAAATTATTTGCCTATGTGTCAAAATCACTAAAAATGTCCAAAAATAATGGATGCTCAAAAATTGTGAATTTTGGCCTATAGCAATTTCTTTGCCAACGGGTCGAATCCACTGGAAATTGCCAAAAAAATATTGCTTATAGCTCATGAAATCATGAATTTTGGCCTCCGAAAAATTATTTGCTAACGGGTCAAAACCACTAAAAATGACAAAAAATCGCTTATGAAATCATGAGTTTTGGCTCCATAAACTTATTTGCCTATTGGTCGAAACTAGTAAACTTGTTCAAGAATCATGAGTTATAGCTCATGAAATCATGAATTTTAGCTTTCATAAAATTATTTGCTTGCTGGTTGAATCCCTAAAAAGTCAAAAAATTCTCGATTATAGCTCATGAAATGGTGAATTTTGGGCCTCTATGAAATAATTTTCTAATGGGTCAAATCCACTTAAAATGTCAAAAAATGATGGCTTATAACTAATGAAATGGTGATATTTCACCTGCAGAAAATTATTTGTGAACGAGTGAAAACCACTAAAATGTCCAAAAATCATTTGTCATAGCTCATGAAATCATAAACTTTGACCTTTGGAAAATCATTTGTCTACGGGTCAAAACCCCTAAAAAGTTTAAAAAATAATAACTTACAGCTCATAAAATTATAAATTTTATCATTCGAAAATTATTTGCCAATGGGTCAACACCCTAAAATTTTGCCAAAAATCATGGGTTATACCTCATGAAATTGTGAATTTTAGCCTAAGGGAAATTATTTACCTACACGTCAAAACCCTCAATGTGTCAAAAAATCCTAGATTATACCTCATAAAATGGTGAATTTTGGCCTCCAAATAATTTGCCAACGGGTTAAAACCACTAAAAATGTCATAAATGATAGCTTACAGCTAATGAAATGGTGATATTTGGCCTCCCATAAATTATTTGCGAACGAGAAAACCACTAAAAATGTCCAAAAATCATGTGCCATAGCTCTTGAAATCATGAATTTTAGCCTCCATAGAATAATTTGCCAATGGGTCTAAACCACTAAAAATGTCAAAAAATCATCGCTTATAGATATTGAAGTAATGATATTTGGCCTCCCAAAAATTATTTGCGAACGAGTAAAAGAACCACTAAAATGTTCAAAAATCGTGTATCATAGCCCATGACAATGTGAATTTTAGCCTCTGCAAAATTATTTATCTACAAGTCGAAACCATAAAAATATAAAAAGATCCTAGGTTATAGCTCATATAATTGTGAATTTTGACCTTCACCAAATAAATTGCCAAAATTCATGGGATATAACTCATGAAATCGTGAATTTTTACCTCTGAGAAATTATTTACCAGCATATAGAAACCACTAGAAACGACCAAAAAATTATAGATTATAGCTCTTGAAATTGTGAATTTTGACCTCTAAGAAATTATTTGCCTACAGGTTAAAAATCATGGGTTATAGCTTATAAAATTGTGAATTTTGGCATTCGAAAAACTATTTACCTATGGATCAAAACAAGTAATAATATCCAAATATTCTAGGTTATAGCTCATGAAATGATAAGTTTTGGCCTCCGCTTACCAACAGTTTGGAACCACTACAATTGGCCAAAACTGTGCATTATATCACATGAAATTGTGAATTTTAACCTCTGTAAAATTATTTGTCTATGGCTCAAAACCACTAAATAGCAAAAAAATCATAGCTTATAGCTGAATTTTCGCCTCTAGGAAATTATTTGCAAACGAGTCCAAACCACTAAAAATGACCCAAAGTCATATTTTATAGCTTATGAAGTTGTGAATTTTGAGCCATGTGCAATTATTTGCCAGCGGGTTGAAACCACTAAATAGGTAAAAATCGTGGGTTGTAGCTTAGGGTGCACTCGGTCCGGATACGGTTCAGATAAGACACTTACCATATCCATATCTGCTTTCTAAAAATGGATATGGATGCGGATATGGATATACATTGGTTAGAAAAAGTCAAGACTATATCAGCACTAAACGAAAACGGATACAGTTCAAATATTAGAGAATCAGATACGGTTACGATCATGGATGCAAATCAGATATATAGGAAGCGTATATTACTCATATATATATATCAGATATCACAAAAAAATGTATAATCACATAGAATAAGATATTACATACAGATGGAATCACTTATCTAATCCAAACCTTGAACAAGTACATAATACTGTAACAGTTTCATATAGCTTATAGCATTAGGATTTAAGTGACATGGTGGAGGGTAGTGGGAAAAATGCAAATTGTGTTAAGTAATATGAGAATCAAATATATAGCAAGTTCGTTTGTAGCCCAACGGTTAGGTTAATTTCTTATAACTAAGTGACCAAGGTTTGAATCCTAGCAAGTGCATTATATTGTTATTCATATTTTCTCTTAAAATGAACATCTAGACATATAAATCATATCTGCTAGTTGAACCCAATTACCGTATATGGAACTGTATCCGAGTAAAAAGGGAAAATCATATCCGAAACTGTATCTAGTGGGTTTCAAATTTTAGCTACTATATCTGCATCATTATCGGATGCAGATGCGGTCCATTTGGATATATTATCCGAACCGTTTAGCACCCCTACTTGTAGCTCATAAAATCGTGAATTTTCACCTCTAGAAAATTATTTGCCTATCAATTGAAACCGCTAAAATGGTCAAAATTTGTGGGTTATCGCGGATGAAATTGTGAATTTTTGACAAAAGGAAATTTTTTGCCAGCTGGTCGATACCACTAGAAATAGCTAAAAATCGTGGGTTATAGCGCATCTCCTTCCATTCAAATAAAATACGCTAACAAGCACAATCACCCTCAAGTGAACGATTATGGAGAACAATTAGAAGGTTGTGAGTAGCAAACATGAGATAAAAGTCCAATCAGAGCTCAATAGTAAACCTTCTGTACACATTAATAGTTACAATGTATTTGTGAAATTTTTAGCCACTTCTCAAAGCATCTAGACGGAATCAGGAAAAAATGCATCACTAACCTTTTTAAATTATATTCTACAGAGATGATTGGCCCGATCTTATAACCAAACTTGTCAGTATGTCGTCAGTGAGACTGCCAGGGTTCACTGAGAGTTGGAAGCTTTCTCCGTGTTTTCTTGCATTCACTTGTACCAACCAGCAAGCATGTATCTCAGCCCAAAACAGGCAAGGCATGCCAAAGCCTGTAACAAAAATCTGTGTCATAGCTGAAATAAGAAGATAACTTTAAACTGAGAGCTGGAATTTCATCCGTGTCATAGCTGAAATAAGAAGATAACTTTAAACTGAGAGCTGGAATTTCATCTGCTTCAAACTAAATTAAGTGGAAGAACACAGAAGATACTCATTACTTTGGTTACCGAGAGCAGTGTTTGTGGAAAATTTGATGTAAAAGAAATAATGAAAGAAAAATTGATTTATATTCTCTCAAAATCGATTACAATTTGGATTCCGATTACAAAAGAGAGGAGAATAAATTTGATTCTCCCCTTTGTTTAATTCTGGGTTCTTCACGGTGACGATGGAGTGCCTCCCTCGAATGCTCGCGTCGAGTTTGCTCTCCGTTGACGATCCGATCGTCTTGATTCACTAGAACGATGTCTTCTCACGATTTGACGTTGTGGAGAACTTGCGTGGCAAGTTTAAAACTCTTGATGAGTTGATAACTCTGATCGAGTTTGAAACTCTTGAAAAAGAGTTGATTTGAACCGAGAATCGGTTCTCAAGCCAAGGCCGAAGGCTTCAAGGAATGCTCCAAAGGATGAATGCCGATCTCTCCCTTTGCTGCCAAGTCCCAGATCCGAAAATGCCAGCCGAAAAAGCCTTGAACTCCGGACCAAAGAAGCCAACCTTGAACTCCGTTGAGTTTACTCGCTTTTCTAGGGGATTAAGGGGGTGTAACCACCCCTTAAATCACTCCTAAGTGGGGTGTAACCACCCACAAATCATGGGAACCGGTTTTGGAACCATTCAGCTCATGTTTGAACGAGTCAAACGCCCACGTTGGCGTTCAGGACCCTAACTCCGCATTTTAGACTGGAGACGCAGAGTTGGGTACCCGCTGGGCATTGAAAAACACGGGTCCGACCCCAGCGTTTTAATGTTGTAACGCGGGTCCGACTCCAGCGTTTTGATGTTGTAACGCGGGTCCGACTCCAGCGTTTTGATGTTGTAACGTGGGTTCGACCCTCGCGTTTTACTGTTAACACACGGGGAGGACCTCCGCGTTTTGATGTTGTAACGCGGGTCCGACTCCAGCGTTTTGATGTTGTCCGCGTTTTGGTCTTAGAGCACGGTGATGAGTTCCGCGTCTTGATTTGGAGAGATTATCAACAAGTAATTTCTTTTGTCATATCGTTGCAAAGATCATTGTCTTGTAATCTTCGTCTTGGCTCCTTGAGAATATGAGAGTCGTCAGATTGTAACTCCCGATGTTGATTGTGAATGTTGTTGAACTAGAGCTCTCATCGGTTGTCGTGAAGGTCGTCAGATTGTAACCTTCAGCGATCTACGTGAAAGTCTTCAAATTGTAACCTTCTGGAAGTCGTCAGATTGTAACTTCCATCATCGGTGTTTAATGGGGGATAAGCTATCTATTGTGATTTTTAGACAGCCTACAGAACCCCCTCCAAAGTTTTCGAAAGTTCGCGGTTGACTGGGACGAATTTTCGGAATACTTTGGATCTCAACTCTGATCCTGGAGCTGTTGATTCCTTGTTGTAAAGGAGTCGTTCACTGCACTCGCTTCGAAGGTATCTTGGTTGAAGGGATTTGCCATGTAGGACCTATGTGAAGGTATGCGCCATAATCCTGCTTCTGGAATGTTGGGGTGTATCCCTACGTTTTGAACTTGAGACGCGGGTCTCACCCTTGCATGTTGAATTTGGAACACGGGTCATCCATTAAGCTGATGGACCTGCAAACGTGCATAGGATTTTTGGCAAACCCTCAGCCATCAACGGATTTGATAAGCCTTTACCGACTACCGTTTGAGTCGGGCTAGCATGTGAATTATTTGAATCCGTTTTACATGTAACGTTGTGCTAAGAGAATGAACCCTCTTAGACTTGATGCTATGATTTTGAATACATAGACTTTGTTATTTTTACGGAAAAAGACTAACCGGCAACGCGTGTTAGGCGTAGGCTTATCTCTAATTAGGAATCGAGATAAAGTCCCCCATGCGTGTAAGGCATGGATTTTGACGTTATTAATAACGACCTGCTACGATGTTGAATACGTAGACTTTTGTCCTTTTTACGGTGAAAGACTAACCGGCATCGCGTGTTAGACGTTGACTTATCCCTACTTAGGATTCGGGATAAATTTTCCCATGCGTGTAAGGCATGGATTTTGGCGTTATTTCTTCCTGTGTGGCTTGAAACACCAAAAGAAAGTTGGAAGTGCCAGAGGTATAGTATTAACTTGGCATGAATTTTCACTTAAAGTGAAATTCAAGAATTTTCTTTATTATCACTAGGATAATTCCAGAAAATCTTTAATCCACTGGGGATTTTATAATAAAAACTATAATTCCAGAAAATCTTTAATCCACTGGGGATTTTATAATAAAAACTTGCTATTCTTGTTGCAAAAAGAATTAACAAGTTCATTGGGGGATAGACTGTTAGAGGTGTGATGTTAACTTAACAGTATTTTATGGACCTATCGCTCTATTAAAGAGAGTCGATAAGTTGGTTTGGTTATCAGAGGTGTGATGTTAACTTGACTGGAATTTATGGACTTATCGCTCTATTGAAGAGAGTTGATAAGTTGATTTTGTCAGAGGTTTAGTGTTAACGTGACAGGAATTTGTGTTGCGATTGGAGTAACTTTGTGGACTTATCATCCTATTGAAGAGGATTGATAAGTGGGTTGTTAGAGGTTTAGTGTTAACGTGACGAGAGTTTGTGTTGCGATTGGAGTAACTTTGGAGACTTATCATCCTATTAACGAGGATTGATAAGTGGATTGTTGTCAGAGGTATATTGTTAATTAACGAGGATTGATAAGTGGATTGTTGTCAGAGGTATATTGTTAACGTGACAGGAATGTGTTACGATTAGAGCAACTTTGTGGACTTATCATCCTATTGACGAGGATTGATAAGTGGATTGTCAGAGGTGTATTATTAACTTGACAAGAGAATGCGTACTTGTGATTTGCACAAGGTCTTGGGAATTAGCGTCTCGCTGGGGAGACTTGCTAGGTGAGTTTATCATCGGAAGCGATGAGTTCTGATACTTGTGATTTGAACAAGATTTTAAAGACTTAGCGTCTTGTTGGGGAAGATTGCGATTTGCGCAATTTTGAGGACCTATCATCCTATTGACGAGGATTGATAAGTTAATTGTCAAAGGTGTATTGTTAACGTGACAAATTGGGAGTGATGCAAGCTGCATTTATACTCTGTGGGGGTGATGATCTTCAGAAGTGTAATGTTAACTTGACGATGTGAAAGATTCGTTACTCTTAATCCAATGGATTCCAAGTAACCAACCCCCAGTCTTGATTAAGACTTAGCAAGGGAATAAAAAGAAGCAGACAAGGCACACTGCCTAGTAAGGCACTATCCATGAAGTAGGAATAGAGGCACATCACTTGGTAGGCCATTATCTGATGAGTTTGACTATCAGAGGTAACTGTTAACGTGATAGTTATGGACCTGCCATCCTATTGAAGAAGATTGGCCAGTTGATGGACTATCAGAGGTAACTGTTAACGTGATAGTTTTTGTGGACCTGCCATCCTATTAAAGAAGATTGACAAGTTGATGGACTATCAGAGGTAACTGTTAACGTGATAGTTTTTGTGAACATGTCATCCTACTTGAAGAGGATTGGCAAATTGATAGACTATCAGAGGTAACTGTTAACGTGATAGTTTTTGTGGACATGTCATCCTATTAGAAGAGGATTGACAAGTTGATGGACTATCACAGGTAACTGTTAACGTGATAGTTTTATGGACCTGCCATCCTACTTGAAGAGGAAGATTGTCAGGAGAATTTGGAGAAAAACAGACTATCAGAGGTGACTATTAACGTGATAGTTTTGTGGACCTGCCATCCTATTGAAGCGGATTGGCAGATTGATGGACTATCAGAGGTAGATGTTAACGTGATAATTTGTGGATTTTGTGGTTAACAAAGGTATTCCATTGAACATGATAACTCAGAAAATTTATTACTCATAATCCAATGAACTACAAATAAACCAACCCCCAGTCTTGAACAAGTGCAGGGGGGAAAAGAAGTAGGCCACTATCTAATGAGTTTGACTATCAGAGGTAATTGTTAACGTGATAGTTATTGGAGACCCGGCATCCTACTGAAGAAGATTAGCTTCAGTGGTCGTAGTATCTTCCCCTTCTGACTGAGGAGATTGGGCTTGGTCCGATTGCTCAGGAGAAGGTTGGGCTTGATCTGATTGCTCAGGTTGATCTTGCCTACTTTGTTCTTCAGCTTTGATCCTGGCAATAATCTTTTGAGCCTGTTCGCCTTGATAGATTAGTTGTCTCCAAGAACGACATTCTGCAACTCCGATTCGGGCTAGGAGGTCGGTCCGCAAGTTGTGTCGACAGGTCTCTACTAAAGTAGACTGTGTCATACCTGACGAACACCGGAGAGTCATGGTTCGGAACCTTTTGACGAAGGCTTTGACGGATTCCCTCTTCTTCTGCTTAGTGGTGAGAAGGGTGTGGATGGAGACTTCTGTATCCTCTTCAAAAAATCTTGACAGGAAGAGTCTAAATCTGCCCACTTTTGGATACATCCGACAGGTAGTTTCCTGAACCATTCAAAGGTAACTCCCTTAAGGGTGCCAATGAACAATCGAGCCAGTATGACATCGTTTGATATTACATTCCCAGTCTGTGACTTGAAATGATAAATATATTGGTTCGGTAATACCGTGCCATCAAAAGTTTGTAGCGTCGGGACTTTAAATTTTGGAGGATAAGGGGCTGCATTCCATTCGGCAGGATAGGGTCTGACAACTCTCTCGTCTTGGAGCTCGCTTCTGTTGGCCATGGCATTGAGGCGGGCTTCCAATTCTTTCATTTTGGCAAACTGGAGATTATACTCGTTCTCAGTCTCTCTTCCTTCATCAGAGGAAGATTCCAGGTTGTGGGCTTCTTGGTCAGAAGCCGTGTCATCAACCATTTTTCCCTTCCCTTTGCTTGTCTAAGTGGCGAATCTGTCTTCTGAGATTTGGCCTTGTTTGCGACGATTTGAGTCAACAGGGCCATGAGTTCATTGATGGCCTCTTGCTGAGATTTGAGCATGGCCTCTTGCTCATCAAGCCTCTTTGCGAGATCTTCATGGTTTCCCGTCATATAAAAGGAGCTCTCATGTTCAACAAAAGAGCTTGATGATTGGGACTCTACAATGGCTGAGTGTTCATCATTGGAATTGGTTCCCCTGGCTAAACTCCGATAGTTGATAGGAGGAATGGCTCCTGTTCGAGTCCGGGTGTATCGGTAGACCCCTTCAAACTCATTAGCAATTTCTCTAACGGTCGGTGAACGACTTGTCTCAGAGTCATCGGAGCTAGGACCGGAGGCTTTCCCTCTACCGATCACATTGATAGTGACCTCAGGATATTCGGTCTCTGGAGACTTCTTCTTGTGCGAACGTCGTCGTTGGTTAGGCAAAACAACGTTCGTTGGTCGGTTGAATATCGACGGTTTGGCCGCATATGAGTAGCATTTGGGTCCCGAGAGGACCGTAGGGATCAGTCGTTCACATTGGAATGAACAAATAATTTGTTGCATCGGTCTTTCTCTCGATATGAACTCTCTCAAATCTGTTGTAAAGATTCGAGGAGAATTACTCACTGATCGTGAGGTTTGAACTGGAACCCCCAGTTTATGATTGGACAGGACTGGTTCTTGGTGGACATGAATCTGGTTTAGATACCTTGAATCCATGAACTTCTTATATCCGCCCCTCAATCTAGTCGCGCTACGCAGAGTATTCGCAGAGTATTCTAGGACGCGAGGGTCGCATTTGGCACCTGAGACGCGAATGTCGTGTTTGGCACCTGAGACGCGAATGTCGCGTTTGGCACTTGAAACGCGAGGGTCGCGTCTGGCACTTGAAACGCGAAGGTCGCGTTTTGGTTTGGCAACATGAGGGTCGCGTTCTTCATTGTCGACGCGAGGGTCGTGTTTTAACTTGGAAACGCGAAGTTGGCTTGAGGTCCGCGTTTTGACTGTAAAACGCGCCATTGAGGGCCACGTTCAGTCTGGTTCTCGCGAAGCTCATGTTTGGGCTCAGGGTCGCGTTTAGGCTTACAAACGCGTTGGTTGGAGGATTGACTTTCTTGGAGTTGTGCCGAATCTAAGTCTTCTCCTTCAGAGAGGGGACTGTATGAACAGTGCAACCCCCAAGGTAGACAGCCCTTTGATGAGTCGGTCACAACTGGAGCTTTAGTCTCCTTAGAAACTTTGTGGATCTTACGCATAGCCTTGGGGCTAAGGGATCCGGAGGAGATAGCCTCCTCAAACTTGGCTTGATCAAACTCTACCACGAGAGTTTCGATGGTTGTTCCAGTGAGATGAACATCGAATTGCGCCACCACTTCTTCATCAGAGAAGCTAGTCCCCAGCGGAGTCGCCATCTTTTGTTTGTGAAAAATTTGATGTAAAAGAAATAATGAAAGAAAAATTGATTTATATTCTCTCAAAATCGATTACAATTTGGATTCCGATTACAAAAGAGAGGAGAATAAATTTGATTCTCCCCTTTGTTTAATTCTGGGTTCTTCACAGTGGCGATGGAGTGCCTCCCTCGAATGCTCGCGTCGAGTTTGCTCTCCGTTGACGATCCGATCGTCTTGATCACTAGAACGATGTCTTCTCCTCACGATTTGAGGAGAACTTGCGTGGCAAGTTTAAAACTCTTGATGAGTTGATAACTCTGATCGGTTTGAAACTCTTGAAAAAGAGTTGATTTGAACCGAGAATCGGTTCTTAAGCCAAGGCCGAAGGCTTCAAGGAATGCTCCAAAGGATGAATGCCGATCTCTCCCTTTGCTGCCAAGTCCCAGATCCGAAAATGCCAGCCGAAAAAGTCTTGAACTCCGGACCAAAGAAGCCAACCTTGAACTCCGTTGAGTTTACTCGCTTTTCTAGGGGATTAAGGGGGTGTAACCATCCCTTAAATCACTCCTAAGTGGGGTGTAACCGCCCACAAATCATGGGAACCGGTTTTGGAACCGTTCAGCTCATGTTTGAACGAGTCAAACGCCCACGTTGACGTTCAGGACCCTAACTCCGCATTTTAGACTGGAGACGCGGAGTTGGGTACCCGCTGGGCATTGAAAAACGCGGGTCCGACCCCAGCGTTTTAATGTTGTAACGCGGGTCCGACTCCAGCGTTTTGATGTTGTAACGCGGGTCCGACTCCAGCGTTTTGATGTTGTAACGTGGGTTCGACCCTCGCGTTTTACTGTTGACACACGGGGAGGACCTCCGCGTTTTGGTGTTGATACACGGGGAGGACCTCCGCGTTTTGGTCTTAGAGCACGGTGATGAGTTCCGCGTCTTGATTTGGAGAGATTATCAACAAGTAATCTCTTTTGTCATAGCGTTGCAAAGATCATTGTCTTGTAATCTTCGTCTTGGCTCCTTGAGAATATGAGAGTCGTCAGATTGTAACTCCCGATGTTGATTGTGAATGTTGTTGAACTAGAGCTCTCATCGGTTGTCGTGAAGGTCGTCAGATTGTAACCTTCAGCGATCTACGTGAAAGTCTTCAAATTGTAGCCTTCTGGAAGTCGTCAGATTGTAACTTCCATCATCGGTGTTTAATGGGGGATAAGCTATCTATTGTGATTTTTAGACAGCCTACAAGCAGTGAAATAGAAAAGAGAAGAAAAGGCAGAATATAGTACTAAAGCTATTGATTTTGCACCATTGAAAAATTTTCCAGCCTGCATAGCATGAAATTAAAACAAATGCATCTCCCTTGATTCATTTCTGTTCTCTTCTCACCACTTCATGTAGCCAGACATAACCAACTCTAATATCATAAGGATAGTATATTCTGTGAGAGGAGAGTTTGTAATTTTAAAAAGTAATATTGATAATCTAAATGGTGGCCTTCCAACTGAGCCTGATACTGTATTGATGCTATAGTGCCTAGGACGTTGAAGCAGTAATGTCCAGAGACTAATTTACCATAACAACAGTAAAGTCATTGGGGAAAATCACCTGAAAAATAAGGAGTCTAATGCACAATGCCTTCTCGGAGCAACGCCCAAACAATCTGAGGAATAGGTTGACGAGTGTCCCATCTTTCGTTCCAGTCAGCAGCCCCGTTTGGGGATCAAATCTGCAACAGAGATTGAAGTGTTAGATCTGCCAGTTTGATCTGCAATTTTTTTACTTTTCGCTTTGTAAACCATTCTTAAGGGGAGTTCCCAAATCATATGAGCTAGTACCTTGGCAGACGATGCCTAGGGCAGGGAATAATCTTGAAAAGCTGTTAAGAAGACAAGAATGTTAAAAAGTTGCACAACATGACTTGCAACAAAGGGATGTAAACAAATAGAGGATAAGCAGGCTTGTGCAAACCTGAGGACATGAATAAAGGAAATTTAAAACCTGCGGCAAGAAGAATAGTAACAGTGTCTCACTGCATATGAAAACATGATCATATAAGTATGGAATTGAAACAAGATGAATAAGGTATTTTATATATAGAGAGGCCACTTGCTCAATATAACACAAGATGGGCCATAAGAAAAAACACTTGCGACATCCAATCTAAAAACAAAAGCTATATAAAATTGGGAATCCAGATACATATAATATGCAAGCAAGACTTGAAAACTGTCATCATCACCATGTTCTCAACTAAACTTATCAAGAAAGCCCAAACTTGAGAAAACATCAGACAAAAAAGAGAGTAATAACTTACAACCTTTCCAAAGGGAGAGAATGATAGACAGAGTTAGTATAAATTAAGATAGAGCCGCCCTGGAAAAACAGAGTTGGTCAACAATAAGAGCAGCCAACCACCCATTATTTCACCCAATCCCAATGCAATCCTGTGGATATAACTCTATATCCCATACATTGCTCTGATAAGGATGTCATTCAAGCAGGAGCATTTCATCAAGAGAAAATTGTATTAATGATTGTTTTTTTGTTCCCTTGTGCAAGATGTTCTGATCATAACTTCTAATCCGATTTAAATTAGTTCCATAGGAATTTTTAGTTACATCCAAAGGTGCTTTATTCACTGGAGATTCATATACTAATTATTAAGTGAAATAAATAATACATAGAAAACATTGTGAACTCCTTTGAAGGTGTTTGGGTACCTGAAATGGCCAAGTATTCCGACTACCGCCATAGCCATTCCAGCAAAATAAGTATAGGTGTCACCAACAAATACTGTAGACGGATACCTGTTATTTAAGCCAAACCAATTTAACTTACAGATACCCCAATATTAATATAACACCAAGTTAAGAAAATAGTCAATAAGAAACTTACAATAAAGATCTGGAACAAAATAATTACCAGTTATATGAAAGTAAACCCAATGATGTAGTAAGAAGGGGCATGACTAGGTAAATTGAGAATGCATGAGCCTGTTTGTATTCAGGATCTGAAGATGCACCAATTTGCATCACATTATGTATTAAAATCTGTAATTAGAAGAGCTCATCCTATCATCACTCTGGAAGATTGTAATACAAGAAATACCAAATTTAATGGTGATTCGAGCAAGTTTTAAGGTATTCTCTTACTGCAGCTGAAATGACAACTGTTTGCCCAACTTCAAGACCATTGATGCCAGCATGAATGTTGATGGCATTTGTGCAAAACACGGCCAACATACCCATATAAAGCTTGTATATCCAACCTGCCATTTAACATCAAAACAAACGCCAATCAAGCACGATATAGAATGCTGAAATTTTCTGATACAGGCAAACACAGAAGTATACATTCAAGACAACATTTGCATCAATTCTTGTTGCAACCTAGAAGTTTACAAAGCAAGAACTACATCATTGTTAACAATTTCCAATGAGATAAAAAAAATGCATCTAATTCTCTTCTTTGGAAACATTCATGTCATCATTGTTAAAGCTGCTACATAACAGGAGAAGAAAAATATTTCATTAGTCTTAGTGGTGTTCCATATTTCTACCTCCAAACCTTCATAAGAAAAATGCTAAAAAAAAATTAAATAAATAAACATGTATTCTTTGAATTAAAATGACAGAAAGTAGAAAGGCATCAGCAATGATAAACTGACCTAAATCCAGAATGGCTACTCCAGTATACTGAATTAGAGGCTTCGGTATGATGATCGTAGTATGCCCAGCATATGCCATCAGTAAGGGAAGTGCTGCAAATGATGGCAATACCAATTTTCTGTTTTTCACAAAGTTTTAACCTTTAATCAGTAATGCAATTTTAGTTTGACGCTGCAACTCCTCAGAGTAGGATAAGCTGAGCTGAGCTACTAAAATAGATGGAACGTTTATAAAAGTTCAGAGATACGGCGTACACTCTCCATGGAATGTCAAGAACATCGTCTACAAATCCAAGAAGAATCATGAAGCAGATAGATGCTAGCGCTGCATTATACTCAACAAGCCACTGCATCAAAGATGTGATTTCTATTGTTAGCAATCCTTGCTGCCCATCTAAAAACCGGCATGGTAACACGAAGACAGGCATTCTTTAGCTCTACTGAAGGAACCAAAACCCACTTTTTGAGAAGTCTCGTGGACAGTTAATTAAATTTTACACACAAAGCTCACGGCTTTATCGTACAAATGAACTGAATTTTACGCAAACGCTATTCGGTTGGTCGGATGCAATTCTAAAATATTAATTTTGGGCAAATAACTCGTGAATTTGAGCAATAATGAAGCGGTAGAGGAACATACATTGGAGTCAGCAGTGAAGTTGAAGTGCTGGAAAAGAATGGCGATGAGCAAGTAGACAATCCCTATCACGATCCCCAACGACTCAGGCCTGCAAACAGTTTGGATATCAAATCACTCAAAAAAAAAACTAAATTTAAACAACAACGATGAAAGAAATTAAAAAAAAAGACTGACACTTTAATTGCGCCTTGAGGAGTCCCCTTCTTGTTAATATCATAGCCGAACATGTTCCTCCTCAGCAAATACCTCGCCGCCACAGGAATCAATCGTACGGCCAGGACGAAGCCACCGATGCTCATCGCCGCGTTGATGGCGATCGACCTCCGGAGCTCTCCGTCGATCTCGTAATGGAAGAAGACCAGGTAGAAGAAGGGGAGGAACAAGAGGGCCGAGAGGGGGAGAATGAACCCTAGCTTCGGGGGGGAGAGAGGCGGGTCCGGATTCGGTTCGGGGTCGGGTCGGGTTCCGGATATTGGACCCGGATCACGTCTGAGATCTTGGAGTTGGTGGCGGGCTTCCGGCGAGTGGCCATGGCAGTGAACTCTTTTGGTTCGAGGGAAGAGAAACCGACGGCGGGGGCGGCTTTAGTAGGAGCTGGATCTCGTCGTGGCATAACTAATGATGCAGAGGTCTACCA